GAGGTGTACGCTTCGGTTTGTGACACAGCTCCAACGTGCAGCCTTGATTGCACAAGGGAACAAGATGCTCATCTCGATGTAAATACCAGAATTTCAAAATAAGTCTTTTCACAGCATGAAACAGCAACGGGGAGGAATTGTTGGGGTCATCGCTGGTAAACTGCTCGGAAGATGTTAATCTCGAATTTCTCTCTCTTCATTAATAGTCAACAAGCAAATGTGTTTTGGAGTAACTGTGTTAATTTTAGGTTCATTTGAAGTAGAGGAGATGATTTTAAATAATGATTCTGGTAAATGTAATAGGAAAGGTTTGTAAAGATGCAGTTTCCTCTAGATGAAAGTTCTAATGCATAGTCAACATGCCGGGGAATTAAATAATCCCTCATCTAAAAATGGAATAATGAAGAAGAAAAGAGGGAGGGGGGGGAAAGAAACTGGAGACAAGACATTGCTCAAACTCAAGTTAATCCCTGTTACGTGGTTATTGGCTGTGACTATGTGAGGTTCTTCATGGACAGAGGTTTTAACAGCTCAAGCTCCTTTTAAAACGGTTTCAGAGTAGATGGCAGTGATGTTGGAGGGTTCATTAATTATTGCTGTTACTGGTGTTTGGACAGGCAATCGAGATCATAAATGTCAGTCTGTCAGTGTGACGGGTTCTTTATGAAAAGAAGAAAACGTGATTGAGTGCCTCAAAAGCTGTCATCAAACCAGAGATGAAACAGATTCATTTCATTCTTGAAGCAAGCAGCAACAGAGGAGGGCTTCTTTTTCCCTTACTAGTCTCCCATCTCTTTCTTCCTGCCTGTTACCTTTTCTGTGCACACGTCTCTGCTGAGCTTACAGCTCCCCACCTCTCCCCAAAATGCCATGAAAGAGCCACCGTGATTGTTAGCGAAGCCAGGGGCATGCAGCCCGCACGCTCCACCTTGACAGGAGATTGAAAGTGACTGGGATTTGGCTCTGACAGTTGTAACACAATTTATTTGGAAGATTTTGAGGGGGAACATGAATAATGAAGACAAGAACAGTGACAGTGAGGAGCAAATGTGAGCTGCTGTCCAAGGCACAACACAATTTCTAAGAACAGTACTCATTGTTTCTAGTCAAGCCTCCAGTTTAAATCTTGCTCAGATGAATTCATTCTCATATTTCAAATGGGAGCTCGATAAAAAACACCATAATGAGACAGACCTGCATCCTCAGACATAGATTAGAATAATAATCCTTATTTCTTGACTCCAAAATTAAAGTTGCAACAGGGAAGTGACGATGGCAGAGTTCCTTTAGCTGAGAAATTTCTTTGTGAAATTTCTTATGTCTGTTGTTGTTTTTCTTCATTTTCCAAAAAAAAAAAAAAGTTACAATTTTGACAACTGGAGGTAAAAGGAAAGCGTCCCTTTTTTATCTCAGAGGATTTGTTGGTTTAGGTGTAAGCCTAAAATGCAAGTTGAACATGGAAAATGTTTCTTAAAAGCAGAGGAACAGGTAATTCTTGTTTCTCAAATCAGCCTTCTAAGGAAAACCGTCACTGACTGAAAGAATCCTCTCCTTAGCCATTTTTGATTGCTTAATAGTTTATACTGAGAGTCTACTCTGAACTCTAGTTGCAGCACTTTATCCTGTTCCTATTTTTTTTCTGCAATCCAGGTAGTAAAGCTGGGAATGATAATTGCCATTATCCATCAGCTCTCTGAAATCTCATGTTGCAAGATTGCAGGTGCTGGAAGCTGTATTTTGCATCCACTATTGTTTGCGTCAGTATTGTGAAAGGCAACGTGAAGTGCAAGAAAAAGCACGCTAAAAGTTCTGATTTCTGCTCCGTGCTTTCTCTTTGCTCCTTGTACCTACCCATAAGAAGATGTACGCACATGTATTGGTCCATTTTGCAGTGAGTATTAGCTTGTGCATTGAGGGCGTTGTGCAGTCGGTAGCGGGACTGCTGGAGCTGTCCCTGAGAGTTAGGCTAAGTTAGCTCAGTGTTAGCTCAGATGCACATTTAAAAATTAGATATGTAATCTTTCATTTCTATCATATTAGTCAACTTCTGTTAATATTCAATTAGTCATTACCAATTAACAGGAAATGTATAATTGAATATTGTAATTAAAGGGCTACTAGCCTGACTTGAGGTAGCTATTTTTCTCATTAAGGCACATGACTTCATTAACTGATTAGGCACTGGTTGGCTCACATACATGAATACCATATTTGGACTTATAACAGGCACAGCAACCGTGTTTTCCATGGGCTCAATGCAGAATGCAAAATTCACTTTTGAGAAGTACCAGATCGGCGTGTGCTTCCAAAAGGAAAGCAGTGTGGGAGGCACCTATTTCAAAATAGCATCGTATCTGTTTCTCTGAGTGATGAATAAACTACAAACTGTGTAGCTCCCCACCTTTGGCAAGGGGGTGGGCTGTGGCAGAGTTTTCCTGAACCCTGCCTCTCAGCTCAGTGACAGTGTACGAGTTGTGTATTGAAAGGTGCACCCTGCTACATTCAAGGCTAGCCCACTTCCCTAGGCACTCAGAAAATAGTTTATATACGATAGGATGGCTGCCTTAGAGTGTGAGTCGGGATCTCTGCAGTCTATTCAGAGGAACTCTCTCTTAAATCATCTTCTGCAGAGATTTAATTAAAGCCAGGACCAGTTGTTCCATAAATGTGTTAATTCATTAGGCACTACCTTTCATTGTCAGCGTTCCTGCACAGCCAGGCATGCAGAGGTGGAATAAGTTACGTACTGAGTGTTAGTTTAGCCCACATAAATGTATTTTGTAAGGTGTAAGCTGTAATCTATGACAGTGATCAAAAAGAAGGCTATATTGAGACATACATCAGATAGAATTATTGCAGCTTAATAAAAACTTATCACCTGTATACAGTGCAGAAAGCTGCTCACTTTTCTGTGAAATGTGAGATGTGGGGAGTTTGTATGTATTGAAAAACCAGGCACATTTTCAGCATGTCTTAGCAGTATGACAGAAAGAAAGAAGACCCGAGTGAGGCAAGTTGCATATTTATAATGGCTGTAACATTGGATTCCAACAACTGTAAAAATGCTTGAGATCTGAAACACAGGTAAGAAAAGTGAGTTAGTTTCTATTGCATGTGAGGAACCAGGGAAAGTTAAATGAGCGTACCCTGGAGAGGGAGAGGCTAGCAGGTGTTCCTGGTCCAGCTGCAGTAGATACTTGGTTTGGTAGAAGTGCGTAAGCAGCGGACCAGATAAAATCATTGAAATAACAAGGATATGGGCGGTGTTTTAGCCACAGCAGTTATTTCTGCAGAGTGGTACCTGGAAAATTACTGTCTTTCTCAGCTCCTGCATTGGAACGTACTTTACAAGAGGTATTCAAGTTAGCCTTAAGGAAAGCACTTTAAATTCTGAAAATGTTCGTGGATAAGCCAGGACAGCTAACACAAAGTAGACATCTCTTCCATAAGCACAGGACACCACGCAACAGAAATTTGAAATAAAGGCAAAAGCAAGTTTGATAGGGTAGAGCCCTGACAGAAAGACAAAGTTACTGTGTTACTTGTAGATTACTTTCCTTTAAAAACAGGTTTAAATGAACTACTGCTTTTTTTTTCCTTGATCACCATCTTGCGCTGGAATGCTGACCCATTGCAGCAATGTCTTTCAGCAATTGGTCTCCTTGCAACACTACTACAGACAATGTAACTTTTAGTACAGTTGGGATTAAAATTATTCTCAGTTTCTATTAAAAAGAAATAACAGACTTGAGTCAGCTCTGCACAGCCTTGGGAGGGGAAATGCCTGTCCGACCTGACCTGACTCAGACTGCATAGCAGCAGATCTGCTGAAATCCACTGCCTCCAATATGCCACAAAAATAAGGTCTGGGCATTGCAGGTTCCAGCCAGTACTGCACTTTTCCTTCAGGACTCTAAAGCCCCAAACAAAACACTGTACGTTGTTTGGAAAAAAAAATAATAATAATAATGATAAATATATATATATATATATATATATATATATATATATATATATATATATATATATATATATATATAAAAGAAAAAAGCAGCCCTGTGTTGCCTGAAGTAATCACATTCCTGAACTTTAACTTCTTAAAGAAATGTGCTTTAAAAGGGCCTTTCTTAGGTTAAAGGCTAAATTTGAGAGTGGTAGCAGCATACCTTGAACTCTTTGTTAGCACCTGTGTGGCAACTCTGACCCACAACAAAATACCAACACGGATCACTGATTTGCTTGTTTTTAATTAAAGCAGCACCTCTTGATTTGTATCTTTGCAGAGAAGGATGTTTTCCATAACTATTTTCTTACAAGCAGAATATATAGATCAAGTTATTAATGCAAATGGTATTCTGACTAATTCTTTAAAAATGGCTGGCACTTTGGATTTAGAGCGTGCATGTACAGGTTGGTCTTCATTTGTATTGTTGCTGTATACTAATTTACATTTAAATTGTTATCCATGTGGAAAGAGGGGGAAGCATGGTATGGTGCTTTCATGTAATGCCTTCAGTCATAAGAGAGACAGTTTACACGCTGTGCCTTAAAAATCTTCCTTCTGCCCAGGGAGGAAATAGGTCGAATCTGCTTTTGATTGTTTTTCATCAGAAGCCTAGTTCAGTTTGTTTGTGGAGGGAGAACGAAGGCACATAGGAGAAACTAAATGAGATGACAAATGAAGCCTGCAATTGTTTAGGATGGTTGGTACTCTACATGCATCTGTATGCAACCTAGTCATGGCTGGAAGGAAGTTAATCAGTTCACTTTCTATTCGGTATTGTCGACAAGGAGAGGTTCTTACAGGGAACAAAAATAATTTGTCCCTTACTTGATGCTGATGGTGATTGTTCAGAAAATGTATGCATGCGATAGAATGGGAAGTATCAAGCTGCTTGGTGGTGACCCCAGCTGAAAGCAATATACCTTCAATCTGCCCGAAGGGATGCCTCAGCGAGGAAGTTCTAATGTTTTTCCTAAAATATTTGTGAATACAACAGATTCACAGTCGGAGAGTGAGGCTTCTCCTGTGAAACGGCCACGGCTACTGGATGACAGTAATGACAGGCCTGAAGAAACCAGTCGATCCAAACAGAAGAGTAGACGCCGATGCTTCCAGTGCCAAACAAAACTGGAGCTAGTACAGCAGGAACTGGGATCATGTCGCTGTGGTGAGTACTGTCTGTCAGTAACCTCTGGCTTTCTACCACAGCGGTGCTCAAATCCATATTAGAGGTGGAAATACAGGGAATCCTTCTATTTTACATCTTTCAAAGGTATCTTAAATAGAAGCTATAACTTCCACTGGTGGCAAAAAGTTATAATTAGTTCCTGTCTGTCTAATTTCCCCTTTAAAATTTTAGCCCTGCTGTACTGTCTTGTCTCAAGAGATCTTAGATATTAATGAATTAAGCTTCAGAAGTCCCTGTAAGGCAGAGGAGTGCCATGCTCACTTGACAGAAGAAACACAAAGCGCATGAGTGGATATGCAGAGATGACAGGTTTCTTACAGAGCTTAAAGAAACATAGGTCAGCACCTACATTATGCATTTTATAATTACATTAGTATTAAAAAGTTGAAACAAAAAAAAAACTTCTAATTGAAAATGTTTTTCTTCTTATGATCAGCTAAAGAGATGGGGGGGAGAAGAATTGTTGTTCACGATACACTTAATATCTTTCAGCCTGACTTCCGTAGTTGATGACGTTGTTCAGCTAATTGAACTGAGGGTGATAATCTCATGCTGGTAGCTAATGTGGGGTTTCATATTAGATACAAAGAATTTTTCTGGAACAGTAAATGTGACTAGATTCCAGAGGAGATGCTCTCTCCTTCATGCAACAGTTGTGCCCATAACTGGTTTATAATGTGCTCATCGGAGCTAGTGATAATGCACATGGTAGTTTTACCTGCCAATTATTTTTTTTCATATAGTCATGTATTGAAAGCTCACACTTGCACTTTCTGACCATGTTTGCATTGATACATTTGGAGAATTTTCAGTTGCTTTATCATATCTCAGCAGGGGGATAATTGCCAAAGGATTTGCATAGGCAGGTGCAATTCACATTGTGTCTGTGCGATGTAGAATATTGTATGAAAATGTTTTCTGAGTAGAAGGCAAGTCCATCTGAGCAAAGTGGGAAAAGAAAGGATTGGCTAAGCTGGTTACAAAGACTGAGATAATGAACTCTCTATTGAATAAGTAACATCAAGTGGAATGATAGAAAGCTGAGAAAAATCTATGTCATCCTTTGTTCTTTTCTTCAATGTCTGTCTGTCTGTAACCATTAGAGATAACTGCTGTATGCTCTTTTGGACATAAGACAGGCTTCATTTCAAACACTGGAGCACCGCCATAGAACTAACACACATTCTCTCTGAAGCCACCAAACATGAAACTAATGACTGTAATACTGAAATTCTTATTACAGAAATCATGTCTGGATACTTTGAAGTATCCAGTGAGAAATATATATATATATATATATATGTATGTATGTATTTTAATCAAACTGTAGAAATTCAGTACTATCAATGACAGTTTGGTTTGGCTCTTTCTACTTAGACTTATGGCAGCTGTTTCTGCTCTTCATCTGCTTATGTCACGTATCAAATGAATGGGGTGCCTGCAAGTACCTTACTGACATAGACAGAAGAATCTTCCCTAATATTGGGAGTAAGAGAGCAGTACAAGTTTGGGGAGAACTGGAGAGAAAATGACTTATGTTATTGTATATGTTACATCATTAATCTTTCCTTCACTCTAAAAAATGGGAGCTATGCAAGAGCAATGAAGTTGAAAGCAACTTTTAGAAGTCCTTCCATTGATTAATAATGTTTTTAAACTTTATTAAATAAGACCCTTTTGTCTTGTCAAACAGGGCACAACCTGCTTAAAACAGAGCAGAGAGGGGGCTCATTCTTTAAACCTAAGACTTCATGCCTGATCCTGAGTTATTTGGGAAACTGCAGTGTTGGGTCTACTGTTTCTTGTAAGACCTGTCCAAAGAAAGGTGGTGCTGTTGAACCCGTTCCCTTGATGCTATGGGGAATTTTATGCAGATTTGACAATGCCTCAGGGCTTTGCCTTGAAGAAAAACAATTTACTACTGAGTAGGGAGTTCCAGTAAGGTTTCTTTAATATCAAACTCAACATTTTTCAGCTGTAGAAAGGATTGTTTATTTTTGTGCACGCATACACACATACTTGCAAGAACTCTTTTCATTCTGCTTCCACTCTGTACAAGTTATTAACTGCTGACAAGAAATTCACATCTCATAAATAATGCTTAAGAACCATTGCTATATAAATTGAATGTGTTATGAATTGTGATGGGCCTTTTTGTAGCGTTCTGTGCCTAGAGCAGGAAGAACAGAGGATGTCATTTTCATTAATTTCTAATGAGGTGCCAATTAAAGGCAAGGAAGGAACTCAGAAGGGAAGAGTCACAGAGCTCCCCTGAATCCTGTGCCCTGGGGCTGTCAAATGAGCGTGCTGCCAAGCCTTCTCTGAAAGTTCCAGTAAATTACAAACTCATCTAGAGCACACACAGACAAATTCAGCTTCCTTTTGATCTTCAAAAGAGCAATTTGTAAGACGAGTTCTGAGCCTTTTCACACAGCGAACTGGGAGAAGTGATAGGAATTGTTAATTGCTGATGCACTTTGCAAGCTTCAGTGAGAAAAAGAAATTTTAAAATGAGTTCTCATTTTGTGCCTCTCTGACTGGGTAACCTTTAAATCAACACTACTAGAACAAAACCAGTTTCATCTGAAACGTTTCTAGATGACAATTACACCAGGCATGTTTTCCAGACAGCAAGATTCTCTAGTTTGGGTTGGACCTTTCAATAGTTTTGTGTCTTACGATTTATAATGCCTATATTGAAATAATGTATTTATTTAATACTAGCTGTAGCAGGCAATTGGCTTTCATCAAGGAATTACAAGGGTCATATTCTTAAAGTTACATTCTATTATAGCATTTCCATTGGAAGTGTAAGTCGTTTGAAATCGATCAGCTAACCCTTGATCTCAAAATTAAGTCATCAGTTCAGCGATGTGATAAGCAGGCAGACATCACAAACTCGGTTTAAAACTAGGAGCAGTGAATTTGGCAATAAAAGTAGCTATATAACACGTTCCTGGAAATGTAATTTGGACAAGGCAGGTTTTTACACTATATATTTATGGGCCTTATCTTAATTATCTGACTAGATAAATATCGCTACTAAATAAAGTTGTATACATTTTTTAAAGATTCCAAGCTGTAAATTTCTAAGCCATGGAAGCTATTTGCACAGAAAACACTGCTTAATTTTATGGTAGAGGCATAGTATTGTACAGCAAAAAATAGTTCTGGTATCACTTGCTTTTTAAGGGCAAAACACAGAAGTCCTTAGTGGTCTTTAGTAGTGTTGGAATTATGTTAGGCATACAAGGATGTTCTAGGAGCTCATTAAAGGACTTTCACATCTGTCGTGTTAGATCCAGTCGAAGTCAGCAATTAAAGAGAGATGAATACCGTGTGCTGGCTCTTTGGCGGTTTGGTATAGAATGATTTGCTATTTATAGGCCACATCCTAATAGGCATGTCTGTAGCCCAGGCTCCACCTATGCAGAGCTGGGTTTAGTTGTATCTTGCAGTCAATGGAGTGGCCAAGGTAATGTGCCCTGGAAACTAAGTGTATCTATATTCTGGTAGCAGTGCCTTGGAGAGATGTTGCTGATCTGGTCGTGTGCTCCTCTGATAGGTATCTATTTTTCTGTGTTTTGTTTTTTTTTTCCTGCCTTTTCCAGGCTTTGCAGTATACAACGTGCTGGGCTTGTCAGAGATGGCATTGAATGTGACTTTAATGCAAACTGGATAAATTCCTTATTAAAGTTTTATTAGAAGTTGGTGAAATGCTTCATCAAGACGTGATCAAAGTGGATAAGATTGCCTTGCTAAAATGGTTTCTAGTTCTAACATGTTTAATAGCAAGGTGATTGCCGCAGCCACAGCTTAGCAGCACAGAAAATCAAAAGATTGCTTGAATAGTTTATAACTCAATTTGTATCAGACTAATTTGTGGTTTGTTTCCCATAAAGTCATTGCATACAAACACTGACAATTGTGCATTCTTTTCTGAGAGGGAACAGAGAGAAAGGAAAATACAGAAAAAAGGCCATAGTAGTACAGAGTGCACATGCTGCATAGTGCAGATGGCTAGAATGACAAATTCATTTATACAGAAAAAATGAAAGAGAGCAAAGAGAAGCTAACAATTCATGTCAGGTCATAGCATTAATGTCTATACAGGTATCAATGCACCATGTCCCTTTGTATGTGAACACTGATCATGAGGGAAGCTACTCATAGGAACAAAATTGCAACCCTGATAAGTCATTTGAAGAAAGCAGTTCAAAGGAAAGCTGACCTTAAGGTGATGAGGGACTAAACCTGTTGGAAACACATTTATCTTGCACAAGAGAAAAACTAACACCAAACTAACATTGTATCTGTTACAAAATATCTTGTATCCTAAGCCATCTCATGACTTAAGTCTGATGGGGTTCTACAGATAATTTGCCACTTGCTGACATTTGAAAAATATATGTATATTTTGTTAGCAATGCAAAGAATTTAGGTGGCATTTACTCATTAATATTTTCAAAGGAGATCGACCATCACAAGAAAACATTATAAATGTAAAAATCTGTAACCATAGAAGGGAAAAAAAAAATGCTTTGTTTTTGTTTGTTTGTTCATTGCAAATATTTGGCAAACATTTTCTTACCTATTTCAAAAGCTTGTCTCATACATATATACCTATACATCTATACATACATGTACACCCAAAAAGCATAGTCAACATGTATAAAAAAGAGAGTGCTGGTTTGTTAGTATGCTTATTTTTACACATCCTTATTTGTATTTCTTATCTGTATAAATATACGGCACCTTGGTAGGCTTCTTTTTCTTGTCACTGTTTAAAAGTGTTACTTCACTTCTGTTCACTCAGCGGAGAGGTAAGAGGGAGATAGGAACAGACAGGCTCCTATCAAGCACTAAGCATTTCTGTTATCCATCAGAAACAAAACGCATTCACGCAGAAGAGATTTTACCATTTTAACAGATACTGTGGCAGCGAGTCTCACTGTGATTCAGTAACAAAACAGGTGGAA